AACGGCCGAGGCGACTCGGAAGTGTCATGTAGGACTGACGCGCATGATTATATTTTTGATAAGAGAAGATTTGGGTGTGGGTGTGTTGGTGTGGGTGTCGGGGTAGATGCGGATGTAGAAAGAAAGAAGTCCAATACCCCACACCCACATCCACGCCCACATCCCACACTCACACCCACACCCACACCCTTGACGTACGCTGCTAATCTTTTTTTATTCAAAATATGAGACTTTTTTCTAGAAATTGTAGGAACAAATTTTTAAAATATGTCTTCATTGTTCAGATATTGGAAAATTTTTGAAACAGCTCAAAGCAGTTTTTGTGACTTTCGGTTTAAAATGATTACTACAATTGAACGAAAACGAATTTCAAAAAACTGTTCCCACAATTCCTAGATAAAATATTTTTCTTCATTTTGAAACAAGATTCAATATTTTCAAAGCTACCAGGCATCGGAAAAATGTTCCGTGCCGAAAGCCCCGTTTTCATGAGTAAATTGAGTATAACTTATTAATTATTAAAAATTATTGGTTCAAATTTTTATCAAATGCTAGTTACATTAGTTGTTCTATTTCCTGAAATTTTCATCGAAGTCTGTTGCACCGTTTAGAAGATAGGTTTTGGAGTGGGGTTCCCCCTTAATTTAAAATATTTGTAATTTGGATTTGAACGTAAACTATAATTCTATGGTTTAAATTTACTTTTAACTTCAAATCATCAGATTTTGTATTCAAATAAAATAATATTCTCATGGAAAAATACTAAAACTAATTATTCTAATAAAATTATTCTGAATTGTTATCCCAATCTAAAATTTTAAAGGATATAAATAGACAATTCTCATTAGATATATAGTTCCAATCTCGATATGAACAAGCCTAAACAAGTTGTCCGGATAATTAAGTTCATGCAAAAGAGAGTATTTGAAAAGTTTAGACTAGTTTGTGCTAGAACGGTGATTAGTTTCTCAAAAACAACTAGCAAGTCATGACCAGTACAAATGATTCTTCACCCTAGTCCACATTACTATTGAAAACAGTCTAAACTAGTCAAGTATCCAATATTGTTGGATTAACCCTTTCGCTACGGCATGTCATCTACGAGATGACATGAAGAACAGAAAGAAATATTTTGCGTTCTGTCGTCTTCTACGACGACGGATATCATATGGTTCATATCAAAAAAAAAAGATAACGGTCTGAACGATAATAAAATGACAGCCATTTATATACTTCTAATATATGCTTGATGATTGTTTCATTTCTTCATTTAGATACCTTCTAGTCGTCAATCATATGTATTTATTATATTACTTTCTAGTTTTGTTTATTTGAAATAAGGTGAAATTTCTCAAAACAGTCTGGAAAACAAAAACCTGGTTCTCCATCACAAGTTCGACATTGATAAATAGTCATTTTTCGAATTTTATTCATATGACAAAAAATACATCTTTTTTGTTTGTGGCGATTGAACTTAGAATCGATGTCAGTTTTACCTAGAATAGATAGCCATAGTATATAGTAAAACGAAAATAGAATATGTAAATTTAAAATAATTACTTGAAAAGTGTTGAGTAACTCGTGTCGTCATTTTCGGACTACGATCAACAGAAATTTGTGAAATAGATCTCTTTAGTTTCTGTGGAAAATCTCTAGTTAACTTCCTTGCAATTCCTGTTTCTTCCATTGTTTCACGTACATAACTCGAAAAAATAAAATAAAATATTTTTTTTATCATTTCAAGCTATTTCATACTTCATCAAAAAGTTCTCCAATGTAGTATTGGTTTTAACTTCTTTATACATGATATAGGCGTTGAATAAAAGCCGAGTAAGAAAGTGCAATCCTAGTTTTATAAACCATCGGTATGTTTTTCTATAAATAAACGTGTGATGTAGAGCACTATCCGACAAGTCAACGCCTCCCATATTTTTGTTATAATCGATGATACTGTTAGGTTTTGAAATGTTTTTCTTAACTCCGCCTATAACTAAATTTTTTAAAATTATTCAATTAAAAGATAATCTTACCCTTTTCATATCGTTCAATTGATGAAGTTCCAGCAGTTCCTTTCGAATCGATCAAAAAAATTTCTTTTTCACTACTTGCTTTCTTATCTTGAAATTTTACTAACAACAATTCATCATTTCGCATGAAAGCGGAATCAGGTGCTTTCATTTTTTTTGTAACCAGTTCTTTTGGAACTCCTGATAATAGAATAAAAATATTGTAGCCGATATTTGTAATATTTTTTTTTTCAATTAAAAGATTTTTGTCGTTTCATTCAATAACTAAATACTCAAGATATTTATTGAATGGCTTCATCATCATCTTCGAGATCGATCAAACGTTCAATAGATCATGTTCAAGCGTCGAAAGAAAATATTTCACCAAACAAAAGGATTAACTTGGAATACACTTCATTTCAAAAAAAAATTATTGACATGTTCAAAAACGTCGATTTAATAGCACCTAGTCAACTTCTTGGTAAACAAATTATCTACTAAACGATGTGAAGGAAAATGTACTGAGCTTTTATGATATGAATACATATGGCAAAGAATTTTTTCATCTCATTACACGTAACCTAATATAAATAGGTACAATACATATAGTTGCATTTTAAAATTGATTTTTATCTCACTTCACACCAAGATTTATCATTCTTTATGATTCCATTGGAGAAGTGTCGTTTAGCACGAAGATTTGTACATTCTACTATGTGATTGAATAGAGAATCAGGTAACATTTTTTTATAAAAATCCGATGGTATTGCACATCCTGCAACAGAAAACGTTGGCCCTGACGGTTCGTTGAAATCAGGTATACGTGTAGGTCGGCAATCAGCTCCTGGTTCAACAAATGTCCATTTCTCTTCAGATATTTTTCTCTCATTCTCTGGTTCTATTGTTATTATCTGTGACGGATATATATTGTCGTCATCACTATAAAATAATACAATAAAAAATTCTACGATGTAAGAAATATTTTGCTACCTGTATTCTTCACTTTCTTCTGCTCTATATTCTATAATCTGTCTTCCATGATCACCAAAATTTGATTTCGTAGTCGTCGATGACTCTAGTATTCGATTCGTTTGAAATGTTGCTTCATTGTCATCATCACTATAACTATAATTTGTCGAAATTCGTAAGTTTTTAGATAGAATATGTCATTTATCATCTGACCTGTACTCTTCACTTTCGGTATTACATGTTATTAATTCTATTTCATCTGCAATTTCATCGATATCGGAATCGTCGAGAGCGTTTGTGTAATCTTCTTCATTATCATATCCGAGAATATCTTCTTTATTGCATGACATTTTCAATTTTCAACAAAAAAATGATGTTTTTTCTCTTTCACAAACTATTTTATTATTTTTTTTCAAGATTCTAAACTATACAAGTTCAATCGATTCATTACACGTGTCTAATTATCCTCAACAACCAAGTTCTTATCATTTTTTATGACTAGAAATAATCACAATAGACTTCATCGACAGCTGATCGTTGTCACAGAACGCAAGAGAGAGATTTATTCATATATTTTTCGCGTTTGTACAGAACGAAAAAAAAAGTTAGTATCGAAAGGGTTAAATGTTCGAATCCACGTATTGTCTCTTTTTTTTCTAGTTTTTCTCGTTATCATGACGCGTCCAAACAATATGAACATACAAAACCAACTAGTCATGACAGAATGAGAATAAATTTTGAGCTAGTCCGTATAAGGTTGTAAGAAGTTGCTCGTCAAGACAACCCGTCTTAATGGACCATAAATCATTTCACACTCAGTCTGATATTAGTGCAGACATTTTAGACTAGTCACGTCGGGCATGTTCCCTTATTTTTTGCTTGACTAGGCAATATATTTATTTGTTTATAATGAAACACGTGATTATGAGAAAAATCCTACTGAATATAAACATTGTTTTCTTCTCATTCTATAAAATATAAAATTCTTTGATAATGATGAATTTAGATGAAATTTTCCTATTACCCGATTTAACATTATCACAAACATTTGAACAATTTGAACAAGAAATAAATGAATGGAAAGAAAAACAGATTAATAAAATAGAAATTATTTCCAATGAATCAATATTAAAAGTTCGTGAATTTTATCAAAAATCATTAAATAATTTTGAACAATCGAAAACAAAATTAATGGATGAATTTAATAAATTGGTTGATGAATGTTCATTATTTACAAATGATGAACTTGATATGTATTTAAAACGTCTTTTAAAAAATATTGATAAACTAAAAAATGTAAAACCAATTCAACTGCGTAAATCAGAGTTTTTAATTGATATCAATTTTCAGCCGATTATAATATCAGAATGGGCCAATCCTTTTAAAATAAATTTTTCTCAATCAACTGTTCATGCACATACATATTTAGATTATAAAAATCGAATGATGACTGGTCAATGGATATGGGATCGACAACCAGATGAACATCAAAAGTCAAGTGCACTTAAAGTTGCTGATATTAATGGACAATTAGTTTCATTTGATAATCGACGATTACTTGCTGCACAAGAATTACATTTGAAACATGTGCCTATTGTCAGAGTAAATCTCGAAGATTTACGTCCAACAACAAGTATGACTTGGCAAAAATCATTTGAAATTCGTCTTAAACAATCAAAATTACCCTCACAAGGCACATCTGAACAACCTTCATTAAAATACTCGTGAAATCTTTTCATTATCTATGTCTTTTATGAAGTAAATAATCAAATAAAAGCATATTTTCTTTTATTTTTAAAAGATATATTCAGTTTTTATTAACTCTTGTTCAATTACAATCATCTTGTTTTTCTTTCGAAAACAAATACGACTATAGGGTGTGGGTGGGTGTGGGTGTGGGGGTGTGTGGAGTGTGGGGTTGG